TTAGCCCTGCGTCCGCGCGGTTTTATATTAAGTCTCGCGTGCAACGCCTATCCGAATTCCGCATTGGAAAGTTATGGGTTGGCTACCGAGGGGCTCATAGCGTTGTCGCGTTGTTTGAGTTGTGTCGTTTCGTATGTGTACGCGTGTGTGTTTTATTTTTTTGTTCGTAAAGTGGTGTGCGCGTGGTGTGTGGGATGCGTCCTAGTCGACCGACGACGAGTCGCACTTGGGACCTCAACCCCCCAAGATGTCGGTTCGCATGCGGGTTCGATAGAGGCGTATTACCGCGCGTACCCCCTATGCTTACAACGAACGAGAAACGCCCTTAGCTGGTCCACCTCTGCGACTGCAACTGATTAGCTCTCGTACTGTGGACTGGTAGCTCGGCGGGGATACGCCCACCGAAGGGAGGTGACAATTCCCGTAAGGTGTAGGTAAGTCGTACCTCGCGATGGCCCTATCCTGTCGTAGGGGTTCGCGAGAGGTATGGCTGGCGCACTCAGCCGGAGCGTATTAATGAAGCTCCACATGTATTCGCGATGAGGATTTAGTCCAACTCCTGCGTGACGCGGCTGGGAGGGTCCCGCGCTGCCCCGTGAGCTGCCGGACCGATGCGCTCGACAGGTGGCGTGGCGTCGTTGCCGGGGATAACGGAAAGCCTACCGTTGTCCCTGGTGGAACGACATCTGGGTATGAGAAGTGAGTGAGAAAAGGCATAAAGGAAGGACGAGATAGTGAAAAAAAAATAATGAATGACTAAGTATGGGGGAGGAAATTTACCTACCTGAGTAAGGGAAGGTATGAAGGACGAACGTGTAGCATTGGGTAAAGGTATGTAGTAAGAGTTAGGTAGGACGGATGGAATAGTCCGGTCAAGGTGCGATGTTGAATAAAAAGAGGTATGTTTGTTTGTTTTTCTTTCTTATCAGGGAGCTTGAAGAGAAAAGTTTGTCAAGATGTCGCAGGGCGGCGGCGCATCGGGTGGTCCCAAGAAGGGCCTGACGTTCGATGACCTCATTGCGGTCATTGACTGACATGAAAGGAACTCGAGCAATATCCCTAAAGTCAATATCTTCCACTTTTATGGGGAGAGGGTTTCAAAGTGGTTGGAGCGGGTGGAACGAGCTTTGGTCGGGGGGTCGGATGTTGTAAAGTTCCAACGCATTCTTCAGTATGTCCTCCACAGCTACCACAAGGAAGTGAAGAAAGTCATAAATGCGGCTCAAGGTAGCTGGGAGAGGTTCAAAGTGAGGATGCAGAGGAAATACCGCCTGGGAGATGGGCTATTGACTACCGCGGACCTTGAGGCGATGAACAAAGAGGATTTTACGACGATAGGGGCCTTTGTTCAAAAATTTAAGAAGAGGGTGCGGAAGGTTGCTGGGATTTCCGAGGAAGCGCAGTGCGCCATTTTCCTAGGGCTGCTCACGGCATCGGAGGCCGTCGAGTTGACGAGACTTGGAGGGGGTAGCACCAAGCTCACCTGGGCCACCATTCACAGAGGGGTGGAAGTTGGGTGTTTGGACCAGGTGGAGCAACGTCAGGTACGCCTGCAAAGGCAGAAGAGAAAGGAAAGAGATGCGACCGCTTCTGGGACCCCGGGGGTAACAAGGATCGTTACAGACGTATTGGCACAGTTGGGGTATGCGACAGAGCCGGTGATGCAAAGGAGGGTAGTAACGGTTGTCCAAGTGAAAGGAACGGAGCCGGTGGTAGAGGAGGCTGCTCAGGAGGAGCTATGGGAAGAGGAAGAGCCGGTGCCGCAGCGTCTGACGAAGGCCCAGCGCAAAGTGCGTAACTTGGCGCAGGGCGGACAGGGATCAGGAAAAGCGCAGGCGCCTCAGGCGTTGACAGCAACCCCTTTGAATGTGGCGGCTCCATCATCTAGTATGGCCCCCTCGCAAGGAGGGGCGCCCTCCTACTGATAGTGGCCCTGACCGGTGATCAATGCAATCGTACCATGGGGTAGCCCGCCACCAGTAGCCGGACCGCAAACGAGTATGTCGCCACCCATCTACCCCGCAGCCCAGGCCCAGCTTGTGGCCCCGCGACCGTCACCCGCTCCCAGTTCACAGGGAAGCGTGGCTGGAGGTGGGAACCAGGGGCAGGGCAATTAAGGCAACGGAGGGAGGGGTGGAGGAACGGGGCGAGGCAGGAATGGCGGCGGAAGAGGAAGGCAATGGAATGGTCAAGGCCAGGGGTACCAAGGCCAAGGGAATCAAGGTCAGGGGTACCAAGGCCAAGGGAATCAAGGCCAGGGGTACCAAGGCCAAGGGTACCAAGGCCGAGGGTACCAAGGCCAGGGGGATCAAGGCCAGGGGGATCAGGGAAGTCAGGGGTATGGAAGACCCCGTTTTGACTGGAGGATGGCCATCTGCCAACATTGTGACCAACAAGGCCACACTATAAGGTTCTGTAATATAAGACGGGAAGACGAGAGGAGCGGGCTAATTTCCTCCACTATGGATGGGAACATCTACGATCAGTTTGGGGAGGTCATTGACAGAAGGCTTGGAGGAGTGAGGGCGGAAGCCCAACGAAGGGCGGCAACTGGGCCTCCACCCCCTGCCATGTTCAGGCTATGGCAGGAGAAGAAAGGACCGTCCGTGGGGATAAAGGAATTCAGGTTATGGCTGGAAAAGGAAGAATCAGCGATTGGGGTAGAAGAAGTAGGAAGCGATGAGGAAGTGACTCAAGGGCCACGAGGAGGAAGTAAGGGGGAAGAGCCCATAATCATTGAGTCTGATGACGAGAATGAGGAAGAAAGGATGGGACCTTCGTCCGTCTTGTTGGGGAAAATTGAGGACCTGCTGGATAAGATGGGGAGGTACCCACAGAAGTTGGTGGGCCTGTATGAGGAAGTGAGGAAATGGAAGTCTAACATCCATAAGGTGTTCCTCTACGACTCTCGTCCGGAGTCGGCGCCTGGGCGACCCAGAGTAAATGTGGTGGGGTCGTCCCACAATTGGGAATGATGGGGAGACCCCTCACTCCGCAGGCCCGGCTGGCGCAGGCAGCACGAACGAGAAGTCAAGCCAAAGCCAGCGTCAGCCAAGAGCCGCCAAGGAGGGAGCTAGAGGCAGGAAAAAGAAAGGAGGCTGTGGAAGTGGAGGACGTCGACAAGGAGGAAGAGGATGAGAGGCTGCGCAGGGAGGAGGATCAGAGAGCGGAGCAGCGGGCAAGGAAAAAAGGAGTCAGGGGAGAGGTCGAGTCGGTCGTGCGCGACGGACCGCCCAAAAGAAAGAAGTATGCGGTTCGGTTGGAGGAGGGGTTTGACGTGGAGAGAGTGATCGACCGGCTGCTAGAAGGGCACAATGACCTTATGACTCTGAAGGAAATCCTAGCGTCGGCCCCGCGACTCCGCGATGAACTAAAGGGGAGATTATCGCGCCGCCTGGTGCACAATGTCCATCTGGGTACGATCCTGCCCAAGGAGGCAGAGTGGGCGGAGTCAGGTACGAAGATGGACTGGAAGTGCGTAGCCTGCGGCACGGTGGATTTGGTGGTGAAGGAGTCCAAGTATGCGGCAATGGTGGACACCGGGACAGAGATGAACATTATTCGGGAGGCGGACGCGATCTGATTCGGGATGGATATAGACCGTTCCGACTGCGGTATTCTGCACGGAGCCAGTTGCAAGTCCGTATTTTGTGGGACAGCCTCGAATGTACTCATCGAGGTTGGAAAGGTGAAGGTCCAGGCTTGCTTCTTCATCATGCCGGGCGTGGATCATGGAATTCTCCTGGGGAGGTCATTCCTAAGCAGGACGGAGACCGTGATATTCAATAAGCATGACAGGACGTTAATCCTCCTCTTATGCGACCCTGCCTGCGGGAATTACGAAATAATTACCTGAAGGAACACAGGACCGAGGAGTATAAGGAACCGGCTCAATCAAGGATCTTTCACGATTGAACAATCGGAAAGTGAGCGTCGGAGGTTTCGAGCAGAGCCAAAAGGAGAAGAGAAAGTGGAGGCATTTTCCCTCATCCTGTCAGATGTTGGGAAGGCGATGGACTTGGTGGCCGCGCATGAAATGGCAGATCCGGATGCCATCCAAGCCTTGAGGGAGCAAGTTCTGAAATCCCCCGCGGTAAGAAGGTTGGAGTTGGTATATCGGCTTCCGGGCGGCGGGAGGAGCCCCACAACAGCGCAGGCGCAATCTTTGAGTCGGCCTTTTTTAGGAGGGGGTTCAAGCAGGGTTCCCAAAGGCGGTACAAGACGGTAGACAAGAAGTGTATCCTGGTTCCCGTCCTCGTTACAGAAGATGAGGGGGCATACTACGAGAGGAAACGAGGGTTGATACGACGAATGAGGGAGAGTGCTCTAGCAGGGTCATGTCGTATCACCGAAGGGAACGAGGGGAAGTTGATTATAGGGGAACCCGACTTCCTACTGCCTCGGGAGCGAGCGCTGATGGTGGAGTTGATGAAAATGAGGCATCGCGCCTATGCGTTTAGTGACGAGGAGTGTGGCAGGCTGGATGTGGACAAGATACCTATGATCCGCATCCACATCGTGCCACACGAGCCTTGGAACATGAGAGGGACGCGATATCTTAATCCTGACGAGGAAAAGAAGGTGGTGGATTACCTCGACGGTAAAATACGCACGCACGTCGCTGACTATTCGAGTGGACCGTATGCGTCCCCATGGTTCTGCTTTATCAAGCCTAACGGAACGTTGAGGTAGGTGCAAGATTTGCAAAGACTGAATGCGGTGACTGTGTGGGATGCTGGAGGGTTGCCCAATGCAGACACGCTATCAGAATCCTGTGCTGGAAGACCTATAATCTCTTTTATAGACCTTTAGTCATGATATGATTAGTTCCCAGTCTACCCGCCGGACAGGCCTGTGACGGCTATGCACACGCCACGAGGGCTAATCCACATGAACATGGTCCTGCAAGGGTGGACCAATGCGGTAGCAATGGTCCAACGGGCTATGATTCAAGTTATGCAGTCAGTCAGCCCCCATATCACACAGCCATACATCGACGATTTGGCAGCGAAGGGTCCAGCGGTGAAAGAGAGAGACTAAGTCTCATCAGGGGTAAGGCGTTTTGTTTGGAAACACATCCAGGACCTCGAAAAGATCCTGAGTATGCTCGAGGAGCATAACCTCACGGCAAGTGGGGCCAAGTCCAGACACTGCATGAGGGAAGCGACCATTTTGGGGTTCGTCTGCAGCAAGAAGAGCCGAATGCCGGATGTGAAGAAGACGGACAAGATTACTGAGTGGTCGGTTCCGTTCCACTCAATAACTGATGTCAGGAGTTTCCTTGGTACGTGTGAATTTTGGAGGGCCTTCGTCAAGAACTTTGCCGCTAAGACTGAATATCTGAGGAAGTTAGTCCGATAGGATCGGGAATGGGTTTGGAGTGAAGAGCAAGAAGAGGTGGTGGCCAGAATTAAGAAGGAATTTCGAGAAGGAGGGTTGGTGTTAGGAGCGCCAGATTATGATGGCACAGAAACACGACCCTTCATTGTCGAAACAGATGCGGGGCCAACTGCCTTAGGAGGAGTTCTAATCCAAGCAAACATAGAGGGAAAGGAAAGGCCCTTGAGATTTGAGAGTCGGACTCTCTGTACGACCGAGAGGAACTACTCTCAGTTCAAGAGGGAGACCCTTGCCGTCCTCCGCTGTCTGCGAATCTTCTGGAACTACATCTTCAACAGAAGGTTTATTTTGAAAGTGGATCCGACCGCCCCGGCCTACTCTCTAAGGAATTACGTTCCATCGGATCCGACGGTTGCCAGATGGCTCACGTACATCTGGATGTTCAATTTCGAGTTGGAACGGATTCCTGGTAGTAAGAACCGGGCAGACGGGCTGAGTCGGATCAACTAGGATAAACAGGAAGGGGAGGCGGTGGAGAATACGCCCCCAGTTGATGGATTTCTGGACCAGGAAGAAGATGTTCGTCTTCATATCAACAAGTGGTCGCCTCGAGTACCCAGCTGTGTAAGCTATCCTATCTGGCAAGTGTCGAATGGGTATGAAAGGAGGGCCGAGCTAGTCCTCAAACCCTTTGAAGAAGAGGATCCCTGGGTGGTAAGGATGTTCAGTGGATGATGGAGTTAGCGATGGTCAGTTCGCATAGTCTGGTAGAGGATATGAGGACGATTAAGGAAGGGTCTGGCCAGCTAAAACAACATAAGGACCTGATGGGAGGAATGTATCTCCTCGTCAACACGTTATTGCAGGAAAGCCTCGACCAGTCAGGCTCGTTGAACCCGGCAGGGAATGTGGACGAAGTGCCCGAGAGCCAAGACGACGAGTTCGAGGAGGGGGAGATAAAGGAGGTTTTTCGTGCAGAGGAGTATGACGGGATCTACTTAGAGCTGGGGCTTCTTCTGTCATGTGAAATGCGACTAAAGGATGCAAGCGATAGGACTCAAAGTATGCTGCAGCGCTATTTAGTGCGAGACGGCCACCTTTTCGTGAGAAGAGAGGTGAGGAATCCCAGAGAGTCGTTTGTAGTAGGAATCGTCAGATCGACGTCGTAGCAGCGCTTCATGATGGCATTGCAGGAGGGCATCGAGAGGTACAAGCCGCGTATGCCAAAATGGCATTGCAGGAGGGCATCAAGAGGTACAAGCCGTCGTACCAGCGCTTCATGATGGCATTGCAGCGCTATAACTATATCTTCGATGCGCGCGATAACGTGTCTGGCTTCGTGAACGGAGGTGAGGAAAGTACCTTTGGCAGTTGGGGATGTCGTGCTCCTCTATGATTCATCTTTGGAGAAGCAGTGGTCCAGGAAACTCGATAAGAGGTAGTTAGGTCCCTACCGGATCGTACGGGTTGGAGACTTCGGAGCATACCAGATTGAAGAGCTAAATGACACTGAGTCGAAGGATTGGGTATCTGGGACGCGACTGAAGAAATTTGTGGCAAGAGAAGAGGTAAGAGAGATGACATGACTGCCGTTATAATAGAAGTAATAGGGTGTGTAGGTTAGGTAGGATGCATGTTGCATGAGTATGGCCTCGTTTGAGCTTGCTTTGATTATCACCTGTTTTGTTCACCCCAATGTGTATCTGTTGTCTCCTTCGCCTGTTGTGCAGGTCCGACTTTACAAAGAAAGTCATGCCAAGAGGAGGGAAGGGGACACGGCCGCCTCAAAGGCCGTTGGGCGCATCAGGGGGATATGAGCGGCATGGGCCTCGCCATCGAGAGAGCACTCCAGAGTATGACGGTGGTGATATCGAGCTATTCCTAAACAGCTTCTGGGAGCATGCGCAGCGTATGGGTTGGACTTCTCGGTATACTTATGCGACCTACCCACGGGCAGCTGATAGGGCATAGTATAAAGGGACGAAGTGCAGCCCATCTGTGAAAGGTTGTGAGGATTTTGAAGATCTATAAGCACTGGAGGCTCGAAATGCTTACCGTGTTGATTATTGATTGCCTTAGTTGTGATGAGGATCCATAAGATGGTCTCTCAGTGATTTTGTTTATGATAAGCCCCCTTGGATTTTGAAAAAGGGGATGTTTTATGATGTTTTGTGCTAAGATGACACCCCCTCGACTTTTGAGGAGGGGAAGTTTGGGTTTTATGGCGAGACCCATCGTGATTTCTGGAAGAGGGAGTATATTATTTTATGGCGAGATCCCTCGTGATTTTTTGAAAGAGGGGGTGTTTTGTGCTGTGGCGACACCCCTCGTGATTTTAAGAAGAGGGGGTGTTTTGTTCATGATGAGAACCCCTTGGATTTTTGGAAAAGGGGATGTTTTTGTTGTTTGAAGACTCACCTTCAAAAGTAAGTAAACTGATTTATGGCATGGAAAGTTGTGTGATGAGTGATAAAAGTCTGACGAAAAGGATCACTCCCCGCCGAGCTACGGACCCACATGCGAAAGTTTTTATAATGCAATTGCAGAGGTAGGCCGGCCGAGGGCGTTTGCTCTTTCGTTGTAGCATAGGTACGCATGGTATAACGCCAAAGTGGACCCGAACGTCGTCTGTTCCTGGGGAGCTGAAGACGGCTCGCGGGATCAGTTAAGCATCGTTCGCAAGTTGTCTCTTGATTTTGTTTTTGTTTAACTCTTGTCTGGCATAGGCGGGAGGATTCCCGTCTTTGCGAAAAAGGTAGGAGCCGATGCCGATGCGCTTGACATCGCCATGTGGAGGGCTCGGGAGGGGGGGTGGTGAATCCCGGGTCTGGGTTAGAGATGGGGGTTGCAGAACCCTGTCCCAAACCATTAGGAAGAAAAATAGAAAAACATTTTATTTTTTTTTGTTTGGGGTGAGTTGGCGGCAGAGGGGGATTGATTGATTGATTGATTCGCGATTGATTGATTGATTCATCAATTAATTGGAAAAAAAAAATGTGCGCCTATCTACTTGTGTGTGTGTGTGTGCGAATGTGTGTGTGTTCGTGTTGTCATATTCACTTTACAATAAAAAAAAGCATGATTGTGTGAAACTGTTTCATCGGACTTTCACCGACGCATCTGGAGGTTGAACCAGACAGTCATGTGCGTGAGCTTGTGTGCACTCACAGACGCGCACACACACACACACACACACACACACACGTGTGCGCACATACACATATGTTAATGTGTCCGCCCATACGCACATACGCGCATACATGTGTTGTAATATTCGTTATACACTAAACAAAAAAGATGATTGTGCTAGACCGTTTCGTGGGACTTTAAAAAAACACTCATTCTTTTTTTTTTTCTTTTTTTTGTGTTTTCATGTTTTTTATTTCTGAAAACTATATTTGAAGTTTAAAACAAAACAAAAAAAGAATGTGGTTATAGATCTAAAAAATGTATACAACCCCGGGTTTTTCGGCGTTCGGGACAGGCCGACTGCGCGATCTCGAACGCCCGAACATTCGGCAACCCCTCTCGACGCGAACAGTCGTTCGGCCGATCTCGGACATGTCTCTTATACACATCTAGATGTGTATAAGAGACAGGCATGGAGGAGGTAGCACCAAGCTCACCTGGGCCACCATTGACAGAGGG